AATTATTTAAGAATGTAATTATGTAAGAATGTTAACACTGTTATAATCTTTTTTTAGTATAATACTTGTGTGGGTAGAAGTGAATCATTTACTGCTTGCAAACCAATGATGGTAAGATGATGTCATGGGGTAGGACTGGATAAGTCTGACTTCTTCCTACTCCATTCAAGCATGTACTAGGTATAAGCAAATTGATATTGGATTAGCATTTGTTGGATATGTGTAAAATTATGTGTGTTGATATATCAACTGTCTTTACATGCTTGAAAGAATAAATAAATAAAATAAATAAAATAATTATCATACATTCATGTATGTGTATATATGTTCTTATGTTGCATGGTTAATATATACGTGTGATAGTGACAATTTTGTTGTGTCTGCACAATGAAAAAGATTTATCTACTAACCTGTTTTGCCAACTATTTTGCACAGAATATATCTTAAACTTGCTCAAAAAAGTCACCAGATATTACAAATTACATCACATACTAGTATGTGATGTAATTTGTATTCATGACATCATAATGTAACTAATGTATCAAAAGGTATAAACCCAGGACAGGAGGCCATTGTTGACTATGCATTATGCCAGCAACGGAGGTGATAAAACTGCAGCAAATGTGACAGCTTGCCATATGTGTAAATGGGAGAGGCGACTTGAGGACAAAGGGGTGTGACATGTTATTTCTGGGACCTGCCACAAGGGGAATTAAACTGCATCTAAATCCATGTGCTGTGGGAAAAGATGGGGAGAAATGTGGCCACAAAATGTGTATTGGATGTATTCTTGAGTCTATAAGGCAACAATATTATAATAAGATAACCTTGTTTGAAATGGGTTTGACTAAAAGAAACTTTTGGTTTCCTCTATACTACTAGGTACTTATACTATATTGACTGGGTTAAATAGAATTGCATTACTAAAAAGAGACCAAAATACAATTTTCATTGACTAAAACTAGACTAAATGTCATCAGTTTTCGTCGACTAAAACTAGATTAGCCTAAAAAGAGTATGAATGTGACTAAAACTAATAAAAACTAAAATGACAGCTTCACACAAAGACTAGACTAAAACTAAAATTAAAACAGGCCACCAAAAACAACCCTATTGCACACAGCATGCTAATGTGAAGAAATTGTGATGCAACTGATTACTCTATTCCACTGAAGCTGGTACTGGCGGTCTACATGCTGCATTCACACAATGTCAGCAGAATGGGAAGAACAGGAACACTTGGGACTTTTCATACATTATCCTAAGGCAATTAGTCCTAGTGGTAATCACCAGATAACCAGCCTAAATTTCCCATTTGCTTCTGTTGCATATTTTAGTGGTCCGTTTCCAAGGAATACCAGATACAACAAACAAACAAACATGTACTTCTTAGAAATTTTGCCAACAAAGGATGTCATTCTGTTATGACGTGATTCTGAGCACTTCTTTAAAGAAGAGTGACCGATGCATATTTTTAATAAATGGGCAATTCTTTACTAAAGTGCTTACAGAGCAAAGCTGATCCAGCAGTGGTGCCCTCATCAGAAGCTGATGCTGCTTCAAATGACAGTTCAGAGGAAAGGGTGTCGAATTTGTTTAAAACCATATTTCCTCATTTCCTCTGTCCTTGTCTTCAGTGGGAGGGACTAACACCCAAGGCAAAGAGTTTAGTGAATGGATCTACTTACTACAAAACAGCACAGCTCACTATTATGAAAGTTGCTCAGTGGTATATACTCCCCCCACAAAAAAAAAACACCTTTCATACTTCTGGATTCCAGCCATAAAAATTGCCTTCATGTTTTTGTGACACTGAGAAATGATGTACTGAGTCATTCCTTTTCCAGTGATCCTCTACGAGAAATAAAAGCTTTGGGACAGTGTGTCCCGTAAAGTTGCAGTAATGAGGTTTGGCCATTACACCACAACAGCTTCATAGCCCAGTGCCAGGGATGCAATTAAGGAAATTGAGCTCTACCGAAAAGCTGGAGGAAGGGAAAGAATAAAGAATGAGGGGAAGCATGTGAGGGAACGTGTGTAGAAAGACAAAGGAGAAAGGATGACTACAGCTCCTTTCACTGGTATTCAATCCTGTTATTGTATTCAGCCCCTCCCACCACCACCACAACACACACCAGCTAGAGATGAGGCTTTACATCCTACATCACTGAGCCCCCTTTAAACATACACTTTCTCTTATACCGGGGAATGCTGACACAAACCCAGGTAATACAGAGAGTGCACAATATTAACGTCAGTGAACCTTTGGTCCTTTTCTACAATTCCCACTAAAACCAACAATGAACTTTGTGTACTTACTATAACGTGTGGGACTCCAAAACCTGGTTTAGCCCGCTGGTCTGTGCCCTAGATGACCCGCTGTTGTCTGAAAACTTACATTTTTTCCCTCACCAACTACATGTGGTAGACCTTATTTCAGAAAAGAGCTTAAAGGCTCTGAATGTCTATTACCTTTTGTAATGTCCAAAATACACAAGAGCCAGCTTCACATGCATGTGATCTCTGCTCTGCTAGCTTCTTATGCCGCACTGCACATAAAAGTGTGAAAGCTTTTAACACAAGTAGGGATACATAAAAAAAAAAGTTACTAATAAATTGCAGTTCTTATTTGAAGCATCTTCTTTTTAAGGTCTTTGTACTTTTGCCTCTTCTCAGTGAACATGCACATCTTTACTAAATGTTAACATCTATGCAGAGGTTACCTGTAAGTGCTTCAGTTAGGGCTGGATGATGTGTAATATCATGTACAGTATGAAACTGCACCAAGCACAATAAGGTGTATTTAAGGTCAAAGGTCACATAAAAATAGTTGGCTTGATAATTTCACATCACTTACTCCCATAAATAATAAACCTGTATAGGCTTTAGAATTCAACAAGCCTAGTTACTTAACTGTCACTACAGCAGCAAGACAAATAAACGATGAATCCTTTCTAGATTTAGAGTTCGTTACACCTCCACTGTGGGGTTACCGTGCAGCTCCATTGCCAGTGATTATAAAAATCAGAAAACATTCAGAGTAGAAAGCTGAAACCATAGAACAGTTGACATTTTATCAATACTTCTGCTTTAAAAACAAACCTAAAACCATAGGTCTAAAAGCAACCCAGTGCATCTACTATTTATTAGCAGTTGTAAAAACACACACACGCAACTCAACAGTCCCAGTCTCTGTAGTCACAGCCAGAGTGTTCAAGCACAGAACTGGAGATGACTGTGGCTGGACTCACACAGAAAAAACCTCATACTAACCAGTAGAAGGCCACTTTATCACCGAGTTTCCTCTCATGGACATTGCGGTCGAGGAGATTGTAGCAGATGTTGGTGGAGGCTCCTTCCATACACTTGACAAAGATTTCTCCTCTGGTCACATCAAAGTTGTAGTCAAGGAACTGACCTGTGTGTTTGTTCTTCCAGAAGAAATCTTTGGCAATGTCTCCCCAGAACTCTGCAGGACAGAGAGAGGGGTTAAAAGAGGATGGATTTTCTGGTGAAATAATTCATATGTTAATAAATCACACTTAGAAGATGGAAGGGTCCACTTTAAAAAAAAGCCCACAACCACTGCTCATATATAAATTTCAAATGTTAACATTTCACAAACACTCAAAATTACAGATAGACTTGTGAGTTGCATGTTCTTTCATGAGCCACATGTATGACTTTTTTGGTTAATGAAATGTTTCAAACTTAGGAGAGAAAACGGCTTTACATTGCTGATCACAGCTTGCATGTAGTCCAATGCAGCTGCTGAAACATTATGACGTATATCACCGCCAAAATGTTGGAGAGCAGACAAACCAAACTTGAAGCACTATTCAGTCTGCAAGCCAGAATTTGAGCACGTGTACAATCAGATTTGAGCTTGCAGTTTTCACCAGGGGTTCTGGCAATTTCTCAGTTCATCAAATCAAAAGAGGTCAGTCATGTTCAGTTACGTTACATAACCAACTGCTGTAGGGTACCAAAACTATGCCTTTGTAATGACATAAAAACTACAGAATTTCCCAACAAACTGAATATAATATTAGTTATTCAGTGTCAACACAGCTGGACTTACGATATTACAGACACCAAATACTGCTCTTTGTCATGGTTAAAAACCACCCAGCTTTTATTATGAAAGTAGAAGGAAGTGTCTAATTGTGTAATTCAGGTGATGATTCCCAGGTTAGGCTCTGCTCTCAGTGTGAGTCACTGACATACAGCGGGTAAAATAACCATTTTTCTCTGTAAATATATTTTTAAAGGTGCTGTTGACATGAAATTTTCACATATTTTCATACATAGAACATAAAACAAATAAGTTCAGAAATTAAGTTGTGTAATAATAATAATAATAATAATAATAATAATGTTATGTGGAATGACACGGGCATCAGTTTCAGATGCCTCCTGGACGCCTTCATAGGGAGGTGTTCCAGGCATGTCCCACTGGGAGGAGGCCCCGGGGAAGACCCAGGACACACTGGAGGGACTGTCTCTCGGCCGGCCTGGGAACGCCTCGGCACTCTCCCAGAGGACCTGGAGGAAGTGTCTGGAGAAAGGGAAGTCTGGGCATCTTTGCTTAGACTGCTGCCCCTGTGACCCGGTTCCGGATAAGCAAAGGAAAATTAATGGATGGAATGACACAGGGGAAAGTATTGAACACATGAAGAAAGGGAGGAGCAAAAAGGCACGGAAAGCCAAGACACCAGTTGAAATCTATCCCAACTAATGGCCTATAAGAAGGTGTCTCATTACCAAGGTGTCACACAAGAAACATCTCATGATTGGTAAAAGCAAAGAGCTCTTTCAAGACCTCTGCAACCTTATTGTTGCAAAACATACTGTTGGCATTGGTTACAGAAGGATTTCTAAACTTCTGAATGTTCAATGAGCACTGTTGGGGCCATAATCCGGAAGTGGAAAGAAGATCATTTCACCATAAACTGGCCACGACCAGGTGCTCCTCGCAAGATTTCTGACAGAGGGGTGAAAAGAATTATCAGAAAAGTTGTCCAAGAGCCAAGGACCACTTGTGAAGAGCTTCAGAAATACCTGGAATTAGCAGGTACAATTGTTTCAAAATAGCACTCAACCGCCATGGCCTGTATGCACACTCACCACATTGCTGAAGAAAACGCATGTTGAAGCTCATTTCAAGTTTGCTGCATAACATTTAGACAAGTCTGCGAAATACTGGGAGAATATAGTCTGATCAGATGAGACCAAAACTGAACTCTTTGGATGCCATAACACACACCATGTTTGGAGGTCAAATGGCACTGCACATCACCCCAAAAACACCATACCAACAGTCAAGTATGGAGGTGGGAAAATCATGGTGTGGGGCTGTTTTTCAGCATACGGCACCGGCAAACTTAATAATTGAAGAAAGGATGAATGGAAAAATGTACCGAGACATTCTTGATAAAAATCTGCCATCTACCAGGATGATGAAGATGAAATGAGGGTGGACATTTCAGCAAGTCCATGATCCCAAACAGGCAGGCAAGGAAACTCTCAAATGTTTTCAGAGAAAGAAAATAAAGTTGCTACAATGGCCCAGCCAATCATCTGACTTCAATCCAATAGAAAATCTATGGAAAGAACTAAAGATCAGAGCTCATAGAAGAGGCCCATGGAATCTTCAAGACTTGAAGACTGTTTGTTTGGAAGAATGGGCCAAAATCACACCTGAGCAATGCATACAACTTGTTTCTCCATACAGGAGGTGTCTTGAAGCTTGAGGCTTTTGTACGAAGTATTAAATAATTTCAGTAATCGTGTTCAATACTTTTTCCTTGTCATTCCATTTAATTACACATAACTTAATTTCTGAACTTATGTTTTCTTTGTATGTATGGATTATTTGGGTTGTTGCCAACATCTGGTGTAAATTTCATGTCAACAGCCCCTTTAGAAATACATTTACTGAGAAAATGGTGACGTGCTCAATACTTATTTTACCCGCTGCATACATATGACGGGCATGGTGTCACCGCTTCCCTCCGCTATGCAGAATGAAGCTAAATATTGTCAAATAACTTACTAAAAAATTATCACTTGTACACACATCAACATGATAATATCTACCAAAAACCACAGAAGTGACCTCTGAGAAAAATGTATCTGATTTTGAGTCCCATCTGCTAACACGGAGGAGGCTGGGTTGATGACCTATACTGCAGCCAGCCACCAGGGGGCCAACACCTTGCAGTGGCTTGACCACTGGAAACTGTCATGGTGTTCATATTTTCTACCATCAATGGGCTGAGTCTACATTTATGGGACTGAAGACTGCCAAAAGTAAACACAAGCACAGCTTTGATCATTGCACATATGTGAATCCCTGCTGCTCTCAAATCATCAACCCTCACTCTCAGTTGTGATTCTGCCCTTACCTATGCCCTCTGAAAACTCTGACTTGCTAACTGAATACTGCTTGAAAATTGGTTTGTATGCTCACAGAAGTTTTGGTGTCAATATACTTGTACAAAAAAAAAACCTGCCAGCAGCTGAAAATTCATATGTGTTTATTTAAAGACAAAATGGCAGGAAAATGTCAATTTAACAAGCTGCAACCAGAGAATCTCTGGCTTTCTTTGCATGAAAAACAAACGTCTTTAAGAGATTAGCTGGTTGTCAAAATAGCTGCCATGTAATTTCCAATCAATCGCCAAATCCCTGCAACTCTAAAATGCACAAAAATATGTCTTGACTGCAAGTCAAGACTTCTGTGTAAGGGTGCACCATGCACCGACATCCCATCGGTGTAACTTAACAGAGACATCGTCAGTAATTAACTACATTTTTTTGAAGATGCAACTAGAACAAAACTTGGTTTAACTGTCAACATTGTGAACTGACAATTCTGAAGAATTATCTTTTTGCTGTAAAATCTTTTTGGTCATTCCCTTTGATACAGTACTTTAAGTTCAAAGGTCAAAGCTTTTATTGTTATATGCACAATAAGGAAACAAGTTTCCTTGTAAATGAAATATAACTAAAGTATCACGTTTTATGTTTGTTTTATAGCTTTTGTAAAACCCTTAAAGATACAGTATGTAACTTTTGTCAAATATTTTACTTAGATATCTGCTCCAGAACCTGTTTTAGTGTGGAGAGGTGCTGTTGAAGTTTCCTATGACCCAGACTCATTGAACGGCAGTGCAGAGATATTAGTTTCTAAAAGGGTTTGAGTCGGGTTTACCTCTCTAACCAGTCAGAGAATTTCAGTTATTCCTGATCAGTAAGTTTTGTTGCATTCTCATTTCCTGTAATTTCACAGTGACAAATATCTGAGAAGGGAGCAGTGAGAGAGAGGGAGGGAGGGGGGGAGCAGTGAGAGAGAGGGAGGGAGGGGGGGAGCAGAGCAGGTTGATTTGGCGTTTCATGCTAGTGCTACCTTAAGTTACATTCTGTAGATTTACGTAGTAGAATAACTAAAGCTGTCACATAAATATAGTAGCACAGAAAGAAAATGACTCAACCAAAGCACCTAAAGTGCTTTTGCCAAAGTAAATGTAGGCTAGTTACTTTTCTCCTCTGGTGACAGGTGTACTCAGTGCAGTTCTCTTTACTTGTCTGAGGCAATTTGACTGTGGCTTACCATCTGGATTCTCTATCGACTTCATGTAGAGTTCTTTATATTTCTCAAAGCTGGGGACGTGAGCCTCTTTCTTCAAGTCGTGAGACCCGAGAAAGACGCCTTCCTTCGGCGCTTTGTCGGGAATCATCTCTGAAATGTCTTCAAGTTAGCAGACGTGATAGCGAAGCACACTACACTACACGACACTGACTATACGCCTGATAGCGATCGATATATGGACTACACGGCCAGAAGGTCTTACAGATAATATCAACACTGTACGACGGACGAGAAGGCTGCACAGACACCCTTCAAGCAGCACAGTTAACCAGTGCAGCCAACCTAAAGGCGAGCTGGGTACTACTTATCAGCAAAGTTCATTCAAACTTCCTTGTTTAGCAGGTTGATGTTTGCTGCCGTTTTGTTAAAACTGTGCGTGGAAAGGCCGACTTTGGAGGCGATACATGCAGTTGCGTCTGTTAAGTAAAGCCCAGGTTGCTTCTGGTGCAGCTCGGAGAGAATATATTTGCTCCAGAAGGTAAAATCCTACAGACACAGACACGGGTGAGTGGCACCCTGCTAAGCTAAAAGGCTAAGCTAGCTCACTCCTGCAGTAGGTTACAAGAGGAAAACCAGCAAGAATCGCTGGAGCACCGACGCAGAGCCCCTCTGTTTTAGCTTTATCAAAATAACGTATTTTTAGCTGTCAAACTAGAAGCTTCCTCTCAGTCAGCGGAGTGTCTTTCGTGCGGTCCCTGAAGGTGAACTGTTTTCGACCCAGCGACAACACTCCGCTCCTGTTTCTTCCTTTTTCCTTTGACAAGTACAGTGGAGCTGAACTCTGGTTGGGCTCTGACTAGCAGCCAATCAGGGCTCACGACGCATTCACTTACAGACTGAAGGTCCGAATTTCTAAATACATGCGATCCCTTGTTGCATTCAAGTGATTATGGTATATAGACAAAAGTTGCTTTTAGGGAACACGGTAAAAAGCTACTTTTATAAGGTTTTAGGAGGCAACACGCCTCTAAATAATATCTGAAATCTTCATGCAGGACAAAAAATGTGGAATATAAGACTTTATAAACACAAAAACTGAAACTAAAATTTCTTTGCATCATAGTAAGACTTTATGTGATGCCATGTAAAAATGAATATAAAATGTAAAAACTAAAATATTTGTTTGGTATTTTATGTAAACAAATGGGTCTGAGTTACATTACTATAAGCTTTGAAGAGCTAAACCTAATAATATATGAAGCTGTTTGCAGAGTTAACAAATGTGTATATTTTAGTTTAGGAAACATAAATTAGGTCTTTAGAAAACTATGACAAGTGTTATGACAGTATCAGCATTGTCAAACACTGCCCTCTATGGATAAGATTGTGTATTGCATTAATATTTGAAAAAAGATTAATATTATCAGACAAAAAAAAAAAACGAAAAAACAAACAAGTATTATTTCTTCCATTAAGCCAAAGCATGTACACATAAATACAAACTCAAAGAGAAAAGAGACAAGAAGAAAATCAATGGGACAAAATGGGAGAAAAGAGAAAAACAGAAGAGAAAGCAAGAGAAGAAAACATGAACTTGTAACCTCTGTAAAGAGCTTTCTTCAACACAGTAGAAAATTGTGGAAGCTCCACCAATCAAAAAGATACCACAGGGCCAATCTCTTCTCTCTTGTTCCTCCACTGTGGCACAGAAGGACAATGATGGAAAATCAGGCCAACTCACTGACTGATTCTCCACAGACTCACCCATCACCTCTTCCACCAGTTTCTCCAGAAGACCAGGTCCTTGGCTCAGTATGGCAGCAGTTCTCCCCTGCTCTGCTGATCGCAAACCTGCCAGTTTCATCAGTCCAGCTGTTATGAGGTTTCTTTGCACACTGACAGTTTCCTGCCCTGCAGCAGTGGGTTTTGAAACAGATGTTCCTCCCTTATATTACCATACAGTACAACTGTGAACAAGAGCAACAATTGCTTGTCATAGTCCAGGCTCTTCATTCTACAGTGGAGAACAGATGCTGTTTCAGTCCAGACCTAGTTGTTTATGATAGAGCAATCTGAAGGCAGAAAGCTATTACATGACTGCAGGGGTCAATTGGTCCCTGCTCCTCCCAAATTCATTTACACTACCAGTCAAAGGTTTGGACACACTATCCCAATGAATTGAATAGGAAAGTGTGTCTAAATGTTTGACTGAGTGTGTACATAAAAGAGGCTCAACGGCCAAAGCATACAGCTTCCCTGATAATGGATATCCCTGCCTAATGCCTTTCTTAACAGGGACAGGCTGACTGAGTCTACCCCCTTTCTTTATTGGAACAGTGACTTGTGAGTACAACTTAATCCATGAACTAAACTTTGACATGAAAAAAAAAAAAAAATCAATGATCAACACTATCAAAGACTTTCTCCTGGACAGTAGAAAGAAGTTTTCTGATCCCAGCTGACACTGGACAAGAGGCAGGGTACACACGGGAAACAGTGTAAACAACACTTTAAGTGTGTACTACAGATCAATCTTAAATGAAAATTTTAAAGCCAGTTTGGAGCCCATCTTGCTTTAACTACTGCTTGTGAACCGTTTACCCCTCCCAGATTGTCTCCCACCTTTAGACAACTACATTTGAATGTCTGTAACTTAATAATACAACAAAATATTTTTCTGTTACTTTGTTCTGTCATCTTACTTAAATTTCTGTGAAGCTGTGTGACCAAGAACTCAAGACAAACAGACAAAAACCCAGCCCAACATTGATGGGGAAATAATGTTTTATTGACTGTACGAAACTTGATTCAAGAAAATTAAGTTAATTAAGTAACAAAGAAAAACAAACACAAAGTCCAGCAGAAACAGGAGAAAGAGGAGAGGGGTGTGGACAGAGGGACTCAGGCGACACTTGGCCCACGATTACATCCTTATTGTCAGAGACTGGTGAGAGGAGAAAGGTCAAAGGTCAGTCACTGTTACCTTTAATGCCACCATTTCACTTTGCTCAGGCGTCTTCAGCAAAGACACACGTGTGACGCTCCAGGACGTCAGTCGCACTGGGGACATGCCATCATCCAGAGAAACGGGTTTTTTTTCTCTCATCTCATTTGGGAAGGCCTTAAGATGATGATCACACATCACCAGGGCAACCATGAACTCTTTCAGGAGTGAGCAACTGACGCCACACAGTCCTTCTCAGTAACACGTACAGTAACACACATTCCTACTATCATTAAACCAGACAGGAGTCAACACACTATGTGAAATACTTTGTCAGGAAAATTACTTGAAGTTGCAAAAACCAGGCAACTGTCAAAACCTCTTCAGTCATAGTGAAACAAAAAAGATCTCCTTAAGAACCACACTTGACAAGTAACTGAAGGGATTACAACTAATACTGACTCACTAAACAGACAAGTTAGTCAGGGAGGAGGTTACACTGGCACTGGGCTCAGTACAGAGGCCAGTGTGTAAAAGGGGACATCTCTTCCCCTTTGACACAGCACAACAAAAAGCAGTTCTTCACTAAGGCTCAACATCACACACTCGTCAGGACTGCTCAAAATGCGAGAGCCTGCTGTTCTGTTACGGTTTTCCTGCACTTGGGGGGGGGGGGTTTTACGCTGTGCTGTTGCCCTGCAATCTGTCCGTCTTCAGTGTGTTACAGTTGTTTTGGCATTAACCCACATAACACAAGAGCTTCCTGTAATAGCTTCTGCTTACTACCAGGAAGTCCTGCTTAGGGACATCCTGGTCTATTATGAAGTTTGAATATAATAAGCGAGCTATAAAACAGCTTCCAAGTGGTTGAATCTGTCCTCTAGCACCACAAAGACCCTCAAAAGCTCCTTAAAGATATAGGACACCCTGTAGCTTGTGCTATTTTTAGAGCATTTATTTCACCCAGCTTAGAGAGGAGTGGGATTTTACATCTATCACTCAGACAGCTAACTATTTGGTTTGCTTGGGTTATGTTTCAGCATTCAGAGTACATATTTGGAAAGTACAGCTGAAACTTTTACGCAGTTAATTGATAGAAAAATATTAACATGCATAACTGACTTAATGGATTCAATGTTTGAATCATTGTCCAAGCAAAGGTGCCAAACATGAGTTGGTTCCAGCTTTTAATGGATTCTGAGGATTTGATGTTTTTCAGTTTCATATCAATATAAATGGATTTTTTTTTGTTTCTGGCCGTCAGCCAAAACACCGCATTTCAATGAAACATATTCTGATCTAAGAAATCGTGAGCCATTTTTCAAAACCTTTTGAAGGTTTATGATGGTACTATCACAAACAACTAAGCAGAACAGCCAACATTTATTAGCTGCAGCCCTACTGGGAAGCCCTACTGATAAAGATTAAAAAAAAAAAATCTAAACACAGACACGATCAGAGTCTACAACAGTAGGTTACAGTAACTTTTTCTATCTTCTTTGCACAAAGTTATACAGCATCTTCAGTGACAGTGTTCTGTTGTATTGCCTCTGTACTTCAGCACATTAGGTTTGAAATTAACCATGTTAAAATTCTGAGTATTAATCTGGAGTGAAGTTACAACCACATCATGTGAGCGGCGCAAGAATTACAGCTGTTCTTATGCACAGTACACAATTATATGAGCATGCGTAAAAAAACAAAACAAAACAAAACAAAAAAAACGTTAAATTAAGCAATTTCTATACATTTCTTCTTTGTTTCATGGACAGCATTTATTTTCAGTCTTCAGCAGTGAAACAACGTGACCACATGGAGTGAAGAAATAACTGATTTTGACAATCAAGAACTTTCCACCGTTTGGTCCTACAAATCTGCTCAGTCGACTTGTTGATCATTTCCTGCTCTAAAAACTGGGTGAACTACAATTCCTGCATTGTTCAGCAAATGTGGCTGTGAAAACTATATAATGAAAGCTAAAACAAACAAACAAACAAACAAAAAAAAAACACTCAGCGCTTTAACCTTACATTCAATCCAGTGTGCTGGAGTATAAAGACAAAACTAAAGGAGCTGCACTCACACATCACCATAAGGTAGACTGGTGTGTCGAGGAGCATACATTGTCAGAAATAATTTGGAAAAATGTTTCAAATGTCAAATTAGAAGTGTCATTTTTTAAAATTGCAGTCTCACTGAAGGCACAGATAACCCAGGCACCCTCTGATTTGTGCAACAGTGTTTGTTAAAGGCTCACAAACTGTCAAATATCAAATCATGTAGCTAGGAAACTGAATACTACAGGACTCACTACCTTGTTTATCCAAAGAGGAAAAGGCTCAATTAATAACACCCCAAAGCAGAATAGTCTTTCATTTAATTCAACAAAGCATTTTGCAAGTCTGCTACTGTGGCACCAGTCTACATTTATGTTACTGTAGAAACAAGTTTGCATCTTTCTTCTAACAGGTGGAAAGAACAGAATTCACCAGACATCCCTGCATTAATTAACTAGCACAAACATGGTAAATATGTTTTGTTTGCTTTATGAGCATCTGATGGAAGACAGGCATCTGCTCAACCTGACGTGAGCTGTTGTCCAAAATACCTCCAATGTTGTTTATTTTCACAACATTAAAATATGACTAACAGTACAAATATTTGCACAAAACAGCAGACCTAAAATACATTTTTGAAAAGTTTGCTTATGAAAAATGAATTTAATGAATAAGGCCATTGAAAAAGTTGTGTATTCCAAGAACAAGTTGCTCTTCATAGGTTTTGTGCTAAGTCAATACTATTGTATTGTTCAGATTAGGTAACAAAGCTGTCAAAAAAGACATTTTTACATAGTACAGTGGAAACCTGGTTTCATATTAGAAATAAGATAGGACAATATTAAAATAGGTAATTCAGGGTGTGGAAATACAAAAAAAGCAGGGAAACCCCATCTTGCATTCCCAGAAAGGAATATGCCTTCAGTGTGGCAAGTTTATAACCAACTCATGCCACATGAAACAACTTCAAGAAAAACTAAATCCATCAATAGTAACAGGGGCAGGAAAACACGGTTTCCCCTCAATCTACCTGATGACACAAGTGAAAAAAGCAGCAGCAGCCACTTTCACAGATCAGCCAGACAGCTATCAGATGATGGCCTTGACTGTGGCTGGCTACAGTCAGAGCTCACAGTGTTTTTAAGGTGGCTGTTCTGGCTTTCCCGTCACCCTTCTGGGGTTTGTTTTATTGGCTGGGGGTTGGTTAAGGCCACTGGCATAAAGCAGCAGGTCTGCCTTAAACTTTTCAAAATACATGTACACAACCATCATACCATCTCCAACTTGTTTTTGCACTTTTACTAGACACTGGAAAAAAAGCTACCCTGTGCAAAAGCTTTTATCAATTAGTCTCACATTGAACTGTAGAGTCAAACCATTTTCATAGAATTACAAACTACACATATAGGAAACCTGAAATGTGAACACCAAGGCTGAGTGGGAGCATGTGGGTGGCAAAGGACAATTGAACTGTTACAACAACCATTTTTCAATATTCAAAGCCTCTTTTGTTGTGGATGGGAAAACAAGTTTCTACACGCATAAAATCTCTCCCAGAGAGAGAGAGAGAGAGACCTGCGTTATGTAGGGAGCATGAATAAACCTCATCCTAATTAGAAAACATGTTTAAAATGTAAGAGCATGACTGACAGCTGATTTTATGACCAAACAGTTTCAAAACATACTGAGAAAACAAGATGAAACTAAAAAGAAAAATGGAGTGGGAAGAAAAATGTGATAAAACAAAAGCAATAATTTTCCGGGGTGGCCACAAACATAAAAAAAAAAAAAAAAAAAGCTATTGAAGGTCCAAAAATTGCCTTGTCCCACTAAACCCTGATCCCTTCAGTGCCAAAATGTGCTGTCCAGCTTGCTTGGGACCAGCTAGCAAAAACTCATAATACACCTTCAGATTCAGTTCCAAACTGTGTTCTGCTGGGAAATGTTTTTACTGCTATTTCTCAAAATGCATGTTCTTCAAAATGAATAAAAATGTGTCAGCAGGAGAGGCACAAGATGGCTGCAGTGCTAGCAAACAAAAATGAAACAACTGGGCTTACCTTGGGACAAAGTGATTGATGAACTGATAGCCAGGTCTTCAGATTGATTTTTAAACACACATGTAAAACAAATACACAAAAAACCTTTCCCACACTGATGATTACAAAAACCAGACATGTTTTACAGGATCTGGTTTTGAGAAGGATGGGATTATATCTGAGGGTGGGGCTTGGGGTTCTCCCAGATTGACAGATGTGTAGGAGGAAAAAGCAGTGATGAATGCTTTTTGGCTATTTGTTAAATGTTTTAGGATTGAAGGAGCTGTGCCGTACCGCAGCTGAGGCCTAGATGAAGTCTGACAGTTTGGGATTTGGGTACAGGAGAGGTTGGAGGGTGGGGGCAAGAGTTCAAGATCAGATTTGGTGTTTGATATAAAACCAAACTGTCTTGGCTTGAGGAAGGACCTCGAGGGGAGTTTGTAGACCATGGCATCTAAGTGAAAAGTTGCTTGCAGTCTTGAATATTAAAACTCTTCCTGCTCCTCAGCATCTGGGATCACAAAACCCTCCTAGAGAGTGAGTGAGAGAGAGAGAGAGAGAGACAGAAGGGGAGGTATGAATGAAAGCAATAGAGACAATTAAAAAAACAAAAAAAAAAACCCTGGAGTCTGAATTTAAGACTTGCCATCAACAAATCAGTCAGAAACCCCCTTATTGGTGTGGTGTGATTTGAGTCTCACATGGAGTCTGAAAGCCTGACATACTTCAGTCAACGCACAAACCTTACAGCAGTTACCTTACAGCGAAAGGATGCAACCAGCCTTGAGCCAGGTGGCAAACGGACTAACCATCAACAGAAGGAGGCATTGACAGCAGTTGGATGCCATCTCTGTGTGCAGTGATGCTGATCACTGTGAATCAGCAAAAGTCACTCAGTTCAGTAATTTAAAGCAAACTGTCTGCAATCCCCTTTCCACCTCACAATGCTGGTGTTGCACAATCCAGAGATGGGCACACTTTGTTCATGACTCACACTCGTGCCACATAAATAAATTTCCGACTTGACTTTCTACTTAAACCTGACTGACTCCAAACTCGACTCTGACTTCTGAGTAATAACTCATAAACATTAAGAGTCTTTTATCATTTCTGCGGGAGGTTTTGGTTTTCACCACCCTCTGTAATCCTGTAATGCACAGTGTGTGCCAATTACAGGCACCAGCTGTGCCAGTTTGTGTTGGAGATGGGATGTGTTGTAGCTTTTGGATCTAAGGATTTCAAAACCACGTTGAATCAACACATCTCTGAAACACAATGTGAGCATTATCACCTTCATGGAGGAGGATTTACTGCAGGACTTAAGGTCTTTCCACATACAGAGCAACATAAAGAAACAACACAAAAAAAGCTATTTTTGGAGGCGAATTAAATGCACTACATACATCACGCGATGATGACCGGCAGATGTTGACTTTGCTAAATACAAGGAGTGCATCCTGATCCCGATAAAAAGGGAATGTGGAACATTTCACTACTTGGTGGAGGGAATTAAACTGTACCATGGTCATTTTTGGGCCTAAACCAGGATGTCCGTGGGACAGTTTAAGGACCTGTTGCTGCTGCCACAGCACTTGCAGACCCTACTGACCCACAATAGGGCCTGGCCTCATGTCTTGAGGTAAAATATATACTGAACATGACTTTAATAAATAGGTTTAGTTGACGGTGTACCATGTGCTTGTAGTAACAATGTTGCAACATATGTCATGGTTGGTCACATATGTTCCTGTTGCTGACAAAAAAAATAAAGATGTTGGGGTGAAAAAAAAAAATGCTGCTTCTTGCTCAGTAATACTCCGTTGTTGACATGCAAGGGTTTATAGACAGAATATTGGTTTGAAAATGATTACTGACGTGTGGAAAATGTAGGAAAAATTTACCCCAATTGTGAAAAGACTAAGTTTTACCTAATAAACTGACAACTGAAGGTATTGTGTCATATGACAGGATTGATAAAGCTAAGAAATATCTAAAATGTTGGCAGTCCACCTCCAGTTTGACTCAGTAATGTTTAATGTCTGTATTTCAATTCAGTTTCCATGTTTTACAGAATTTAACAATGGAAAAGTTAGATGTCCAGTGGCAGCTCAGAGAGGCACAGCATTAATCCATGATGGACCCTTATTAGCAAACTTCAGGCGGGCTGCAATGTTGTTGTTGGAGAGCGATGTCTTCCTCTGTGGTGTCCTGCCTAGGACACCGTGGCTGTTCAATATTTTGCATATGAGTTACTCATGAACAGAGATGTTAACCAATCCCAGTTAATCCTTCAAGCCGTTAGCTGTTACTCTAGGGTTCTTTTTACCTCACTGATCATTCTGCCTCATGCCTTTGGAGTGATCTTGGCCACAGTACCAAACTGAAACTGACACCGTTTGTTTTTATAAGTCAAGGAAGCTCTAAACCACACCTCCGTTCTCGGTTTATTGATTGGACTCCAGGTTTGCCAACACCCGACTCCAGCTGACATGTAGTGACATCAAGAGCCTGGTGTTGTCATTTTTTTTCCACCATCACTTTGTATGTTTAATGGGTGTGTTTAATAAAGACATGAACGATCATGAGTGTTTGTTTTATCAGCTTAGAAATATTGTGTTTGTTGATATTTGTGACTTTGGTGAAGATCAGATCACATTGCATGACCAATTTATGCAGAAAACCAGGAAACTGCAAATACAGTAAAACCTTTTTAAAAAAATAAATTTTAACTTGACAAACGAGCGAGGTCTTGCAATACGAGTAGTATGTACGCTTTGTCTGCCGAGCGTCATGTCATGACTGAGCCAATGGTTCTTGCGCCTCATTCGTATAGTCAACATCTGTACTGCAACAATGGCCCCGATGAAGAAAAGAGAAAGGTTGAAAAGAAGGGCGGTAAGAAAACGGAGATGATTACGATGGAAGTTAAAAAGGAAATCACTAAGAAGCATGAACGAGGTATGCAAGTGGCCGACATCGCAAGATTTTATAAGCTGGAAACCTACAATCAGCTGGCCAGTGAAGCACCCTGGGGGAGTGAATGATCAGCTCATCCACACTGAATTTCCCCTGGAGCACATTACCTGTTTGTTTTGATTGCTTTAGGCCAGTAATACTGTATATCAAACAATTGGTTAATAGCCTGTTTGATTCATTTTCAAATTGGTCGCAATGTACACGGTCCATCAGACATCAAAATCAGCATCACGCCTCCAGTACTGGGACTCTGGCATCTGTGTACATTTAAGATGGGAGCAGCAGTTTGTCAGGATTTTTATGTTCAGTGCAAAGGGGACCTAATCAAATAAGCCACATTAAAGAAGGGTTAAAATCAGTCTTGTGTGACCTCTGTGTATAAGAAGCCCCTGGCTGATAGTGTGACACATAATGTGGGATTGTAACATTTTCTGAACTAGTTTGGTGTGTTCCGTCCTAATTAGCACAGGACATCTGCATATTTACAGCAGATATCATTGGGAGGTTTATTTAATTTAAAAAAAGAAAAAAATGTCCAGATCACTGATGTTGTGTGACCTCCCTTCACCACAGCTTTATCCTCCTGTGCAGTGGTCTGACTCGTCTCACACTCACACATTACGTTTCCAACAGCATGTGTGTGATTTTCCTTGCTTTGGCCCTACATTTCAGTGAAGTGACCCTAACCTATGATTGTCCAGAGATTTGACCGAGATGCAGAATATTCTTTTCATATATTAAAATGGACTTAGTTTATCAACATTATTGTGGGAATTTGTTTGCAATAATTACAGACTGTTGTATCGCCCAGGCCTAGTTTAGACAATATCTTTAATGTAGCTTCACTGTTTCTCATAACCAGGAAATGGAAAATTACTTTAATATCATTTTATGAATACCATACTGCTTTAAAATTCTCTGTCATTCACAATTTGAACTTCTAGTTTGACAAAACTGACATTTTTGTAACAATACACTTAATAAAATCAACCACTGACTGTTTAACCTACAGTATCACTATCCTTCATTCAAAAGAGATATCAGGTTTAATAAAAACAGATTACAAACTCACATCTGTTGCATAGAGGATGTCTACAATCCTCTGCAGTGTGGGGTCACCCTCTCCTTCCTTCTCCTGGCAAATCAGCTCAATGTTCCGCAGCTTACCAAAATAAAAGTCTCTCTCCTTCTCCATGTCCTGAATCGCAGATTTCAATGTCTCCAGCTGTGGAACAAGGGTCAAAACAACCTTTAAGTTTTGTTTCTACATTAATAAATGACATATTTTACTTGGCTTACTCATTTTAATATTATGTTGAAGTGGTTTGATTTATTTGCTTGTTGTAAAACTAAAGTTACTTCATGTTTCTGTAGTAACTGTATGGATTTCAGAGCAAAGAAACAATATTTTCTTGGTGGTGTGCTAACCTCATTTAGGAGCTCTGCCCTCTCCTCACCAGCTCCTCCCATCCCTGGCTTCCTTGCACTAACAGGAGCCAACTTCGGTGCTACCTTGGCGACAGGTGGCCTCTGAGGAGCTGAAGAGAAATAAGATAAATAACAATGTGAATACTCCACCTTTCACATCAGCAGTACTTTAGCAGTACTTTCCCACCATAATTTATTAAATCTGAGCTCTGACCTTGATTGATGGCCTTTTTAGGTGGTTTGTTGAGAGCTGATGGGGAAGGGCTAGGTGTGGGCATGGCATCCTGGCCCTGCCGTGCCTCCACTGGATCATACTCCTTCCCATCGTAGTTTGCATCAAATAACTTCTTAAACCACTGAACAAACTCAAAGTTGTCCTGGAACTTCCCCTTTACCAGTTTGTCTACTGGAATGATCTGAAAGGAGAAAGAGAGAGGGAAACAGATAGAGAGAGAAAAAGGAGTTGGAGAGCGAAAATGTTAACTGTTTAGAAATGTTAAGGGGTAATATCCTTCACTGTGACTTGGCTTAGACAGATGCTTCAGACATGGAATAAAGATGGAATAAACTTACAAGCAAACAAACAATGTACTGACTGCACGGGACAGCAGAAAATATGTAAAACCCTTCTCTTCTGGCACATACTTTAAGACTCGATGTAGTTTGGAATCAAAGCCACAGTGAGAAAAAGAGTAGCAGACAAGTTAGTGGGAGCAGCTTTGCAGTAAACACACTAACTAAGCGAAGGAGGAAGCTGACATTACACCATGCACACTCATAAGGTATGAATGAGGGCCAAGTCCACAATGCAGATACAGTGAATAGCTATGAATATACTGATGTGCTCTACATGTTCAAGCATCTCTAATATGGATCTATGAATAAACACTGTCTGGGCATTTCAAAACAGTGAACAAGTCTACAACAAAGAGTTAAAAAATAGGCAGCAGGAAGGAAGCTGGTCCATGAATAAATTACACAAGCTTTAGCAACAGTCCTGCAAGTTCAGTCTAAAAATAAACAATGACTAAACTGGATCTGCGCTACTCTGATGATTCTGTCAATATAAAGACGCTGTGAAGCTTCTGAATGTGAAGAGGGAAAATTTAACAAATGCAAACTGCAAAATGCAACTGATTTGATTCTAGTGTAAAAAAAAAACAACAAAAAAAAACAAAAAAAAAAAACACACTGCTTAGAAAATGAAGTTTCAAGCATTTCGGTTGTAATTCTGCCTATCCTTTGGTGACTTTACTTTGACAGATAAAACCACTGCACAGTAGACAGTAGACAAAGAGGGACAGACAACCTGAAGAGGTGCTAAGAAAAACAGAGTCAGTTAACCTGGCTAGGAGGGGATGACAGAGTTTCAGTTTGATTATCAAGCAGCAGTATGGAATGAAGGCTGAAGCTACTCTTACAACAGTTTATGATACTCCGTTCTAACAAACAGCCAGAATGATCAGGGGTCCTTTTCTTTCAGTAGCAAGCTTGTTGTGCAGGTTTTTTTTTTAAGGTGCAGATTTTAAACAACCTCTGCTTCATGTACTTATTTGGATTATTTGGTGTTGTCACCATTCCTTAGACAGGCATTTATAAAGTTACAAACTACACCATAATCACACGATTATTCTTTACAGGGAGAGAGTTGTATGAGGGGATCAAATCTAGTCCTAACGGCCTATTGTTGCTTTCAGTGTCTTCAAAGGTGATGCAGGTTTTGTCTTCTATGACCTGGTATGAAATGACTTATTAGAGTCACAAAATGTTGTACTTGTTCTAACAGGGCTCTGGAGATCCCCTTTAAATACAAGAGAAAAATGATAAAGCTAGAGCCACAGTAAGCTAGTTAAAGAGGTACATGTAACACACATCCCAACCTTATCTGTTGTCAAAGGAAACTGCAGAACTGTTCCTGTTATACTGAAAACTGCTGTACAGTGTTTGTGTCACAGAGTCTTTATTTCTGTTGCTCATGGCAAGACACAGGTATCAAATTGTATAAGCTCTTAGGATATGATGGTTGCATGTTTACAAAAATGATTGTTTTGCTGCCATCTAATATAACTTCCTTCATATATTTCCAGACCTTCTGCACTTATGTAGGGTGTGCCATGTAAATTTAAACTGACATTAAGGTGCATGTTATACTTACTTTGTCAACTCCCATCTTTTTGAAAGCAACCTGCAGAAGCTTGAAGTTGTGGATGTATTCGTGCTCCAGCTTGGCACCAAATTTGACTTTCTTCAGAGGCACAGAGTTGGGAAAAAGCATGTCCATGAATTGGCAATAGACAGCACCTGAACAAAAAAGGGCCCAAATATTGCGTTACAGGTCCTCCAAGGTCCAATATAGTAAAACTTGTTACTGGTACTGAGTGGGTGCTGCATGTTCATAATTAATGCATACCTTAAAAAACACAACATGTAGTGTAAGAGCAAAGAATTAAAATAATGTCCATCTTCCTTTCAAGTGACAACAGAAGACAGACATTTCTATACATCAATGGCACACCAACTGAAAAGAAGATTTTACTGAATGTGTGAGAGAGGCTGAGCCAGTCAATATATGCATCACACAGCTCTACACTTTTAAATAGTAAAAAGAAAGAAAATCAACATGTGGCAGTCAATATTGCTATCTCTCACACTGACAATGGACCACCCGAACAGCTCCTCTCCGTATCTGTTTTTAAAAGTTAAGATTAATGCTAATTCTAAAACTCTGTTGCTCCCTCAATGCAGAGGAATACTGAAAAATACTTTCCCAGACTTAAATGACTCGTCCTCTGCAGGTGCAGACAGTATGGCCCAAAAGTATTAGCAGAACTGAGTTAACATTAGAAACGTAAGAAAACACACATGGGAAAGCTGAACAGCGATCCAATTAATTTGCTTCAGGTATTTCCAGACTATACCCAGTGCTGCTGAAGCAGCAAGAGGGGGTCAGGAAGAGAGAAATGTAGGACTAGAGGAGGAGGACAACAGCCAAGGACACTGCAGAAGCAGCAGGTCAGGTGGAGCAAACACAGAGATGCAGAAGCTAAGCGACCCCCTTTCTTTTCTTCACTGCAGAGAGTGTGTGTGGGAAACAGAGGGAAATGGCTGGTGCACCCACTGTGCCTGTACGGAGTCAAATAGTAGTGTCATGATAGAGGAATTTCTAATTTTAATATGACACCTTTAAAAATATCAATATTCGATACCATTTTTGGTACCAAGGGAAAAAACTGACACCCAATTGAGGGTATAACATTTTTCCATTTTATTTACAAGATAGTATAACAAGGCTATAACATGACAATGAGGTATGACTATTTTAGGCTAGTAGCAGAGAACAGCAGAATGACTCTAGTAGACAATACCAATAACTGTTTGTGTACTTTTTGTCATTTTTTTTAACATTAATGGATACAATGTTTTTGAGGCAGTAGACATGTACGAGCCTCTGAGATTGTCATATATGCTGTGCACAACAGCATCTAACTTAATTTACCAATGAAGTATTTTCCTATCAACTGAATCTCTGCTCTGAATGAAGGCTCAGGAGAGGCTTGTCCTTGCCCATCTACATTCTCTGGTGAGCTCGAATATGGATCCGCTGCAATTAGCTTACCAGCAATGAAACAAGGTGGATGATGCTATCATCTACTTCCTTCACAGATGGTTGACGACAGACAGAAAGAGACTAGACACATTGACTAGGAAGGCCAACTCTGTCTTGGTATGCTCTCGTGAGATGCCCAAATGACCAACAGTTTGGCCAACACCTCACACTCTTCCTAGGACAACCTAAGTGGCCTGAGCAGCAACTTCAGGGACAGTCTCTTCTAACTGCAGTAGGTGAAGGAGCAATACACAACCTACATCACTGCTCCCAGCAAGCACAAATAACTCAGTATTCGCAGACTGATTTTTATAAATTTCACAGCTTAAAGACACTGCACACTTTAACAATGTTGCCTTTCAGACATGCACTATAAACCTAAAACTATCTAGACATTACCTAGAGGAGCTCTGTCAGACTGCAAATCTGACACAGAGCTAGAGCGCATGAGGATGAGGTTCTATCAAGTGACTGGTGAGAATACTGAGGAATACAAACATCCGATGATAAAATAAAATGGTCATTACAATGAAGACACCCATGAAAATATCTAACTGGGCACACAACGACATTCAGGAACTTCTGTCATTAAGAGCTGGTGCTAGAGTCATCAGAGAAGTCAAGAGACTTGTTTGTTTATGACCAAATTACAAACTTGCTAGGAGCCACCCCCCCAAAAAAAATCACATAATCCAAACAAGGTATTTCCAATAGGTGAGAACATATTTGACATAGACTACATCCTGTTGTGTGCTACGTGTGAGAAAGGGAAACTCCAGACAAAATCCTGACCTGATTCCGCAGACACTGCCCAGAGTTCCTTTGCTTTTTGGCTAAATGGCTTTAGTTGTTTTGTACATACTCTTTATGTATGTGGATGGGCAAAAGATCTGATTCTGGTATTATTGTTACTATTATTACTAATGTTTTATTTATTGTGCACTTTACTATAATTCAATCATTCTAAATTCTATTTTTATTACTTTTATTGAATCATTTTGCTCTGCAGCTATAACACCTGAATTTCCCCTGTGGGGGAATCAGTAAAGTAATATCATTATTATAACTAGAGACAGGCATTTCCTGAAGAAAAAAAAAGGTGTGAATGCTGATTGCTGAAGAATTGCCCTAGCGATGCTGAAATGGCTGATATCCACTGCTGAAACAGCCAACTGCTGATGAAACGAAAATGCTGAATAATTAGGGAAGATGAAAAAAGGTTGAACAACAATAATAATAATAATCACCTTTATTTGGCCAAGTATGTTACACGCACTAGGAATTTGTTTCCGGTACAGAACCGAGGCAGCCATCTGCGACGCCAACTCACATCAATGACTAACCATCGGGGGCAACTTGGGGGGTTCGGTGTCTTGTCCAAGGACACTTCGACATGTGGACTGCAGGCACCATACGTAATTCGAACCTACAACCCTCCGGTTGGGAGACAACTGCTCTGTCCACTGAACCACAGTCGCCCCCACAATGTACAGTCCTTATTGAAGCCAACCCCTACTCCTCAGGCACCTCCCCCTCTAAGATCCATAATGCTACCAGGTACACTGTCCATTCCTTGACTCTGCAAACAGATTAAATGTGTATCCTGCTAACACTTTCCCACTGTTAATGTTTGGAGTTTAGTTTACACTGATGAACTAAACCCAGCAGCATACTCAGGAAGTTGAAGTTCGTGCACTGGCGTAAAACACGTGCCAAATGTCAACATGTGAGTCGTCAGTGTGACGATTTGCTGTGGCGACCCCTAAACGGAAAAAGCCGAAAGTGACTTTCTATTACTGAAGCTGCAAGAGAGGGTCAGGAAGAGAGTGGTGAAGAGATGTAGGAGGAGGGCAGCAGCCAACCTGCTGCTGCATGAGAGCTGGTGCAGAAGAGACAGGTCTGATGAGCAGCACAGCAGCACTACTATATTTAATTAAAAACACACAATTAGAATATAATTTTGTGAGAAACACTGCACAATCACGCAAAAACTCTCACATGCTCACACCCACCCATTCTTCCAACATGAGCACCCCATCCTGAAACTATTTCACAGGATCTGACAACTGACTGAAACATACATAAAAGCCAAAAAGACCTGATGCATACACATTTCTTACCTGAACACAACATTTCTATCTTGGTGAGGTTCATCTGTAGAGATTCATTGATCCAGATCAGCATGTCATGACGACTTAGGTTGTCACTGGTCACAGAGGTTGAGTACACGTTCACAGCCATTGTCGGTCACCTGATGAGACCGAGTAGTAGTGTGAAATGGTGCCATTATCTTAAGGTATTTTTTTTTCCTTTAATCTGATTTATAAATAACATGACCAAGACCTGCCAACAGCCAACATGGAAAATCTCTCTGTTTTTGCCTCTCCATTTATATATGACGGGGTCAGAACATTAGAAATATCTCTGAATATTATGCAGTCCAGTAGAACATAACCATTAACAATGACAAATAAACAAATAACCGAATTTATACATTTGCAAATAATTTCAAACACTTCAATATTATGAGTTTCATAAAGATAAGATGTAATGACTGTTGTACTGGACTGCGTTCAAATACACAGGTGTATCTAATAAAGAGCTTGCTAATGACAGTCTGGTTAAGGTCTCTAGTTACAGCACACACACTCATCCACAGTCTCTGCTGTGGCTCATCTCCTACATCACTTATTTCTGCAACAACTGAAAGTAGTAGCTGGAAGGAACAACATTTCTCTTCAGATGCAATCAACTATTATAAGTGGATTGGCAAAAGATCTGATCCGTGTAGAGAAGATTTCTATCTAAATGAGAGAACACATAATTGGACATGTGTTATTAAATTTAGAATCATACAAGTCTTTGTATGAAGTGGTTATTCAAGGCATTGCCACCAGTTAACAAATTTAATGGCCAACAGACAACTTCTACATCTCTTTCTAGCGAAGCATAGAGTTTAGGGCTGCAGTTAAAGATGATTGTCATTATGGATAAACTGGCTGATTATTTTCTCAATCAATAATCGTTTTGTCAATGAAACTGCAAAAAAACTGTGCAATGCCCATCAGGATATCTTAGAGTGATGTCATTAATTGTCTTGTTTTTTCTGACAAGAGCCCAAATATTTAAAATGCTCAATTATAATATACAGTATATAGCGACTGGAAACCCTGGTAGGCCAGTGGTTAAGGGTTCGAATCAGGGTTGCGTCAGGAAGGGAATCCGGAGTAAAACACGTGCCAAATGTCAACATGCGAGTCGTCAGTGTGACGATTCGCTATGGCGACCCCTAAACGGGAAAAGCCGAAAGTGACTTACTTTCTTTCTTTCTATATAGCTACTGGAAACCGTTTGAACAGGGTGAAACAACTCGACGGGGGACAGCCTTCCACACAGCACTATCGAAATCTGTTCCCCCGCGTAGATCCCCATCTCCCTGTTAAATCTGTGCTTCCATTAGAGCTCCCCACGCGATGGTTATGGCAAGTTTCAAATTAGAGGATACATCTCACCGGGGAACAGATTTGGACACAACACCGGAAGTAATTCCAGCGTCGCGAAAACGTTTCAAACTCAGACGATGAATTTCACTTATTTAAAATTATCTAAACGATTAATGGAGAAAATTCTAGAAAGATTATGAGTGGTGGAAATAATTGTTAGCTGCAGTTCTATATCTTAAAAGCAATCCGGATGATAAGAGTTTACCTAGGTCACTAACATTAAATGAAAGAGGCCCGGCGTTGAGAGACTTGGACGCTAACATTAGCCTGATGGTCAGCAGCCTAACATTAGATTCCTAAAACATTAGCTTTGCTATATGCCCACCCAACAAACTGTATCAGCTGTTAACCAACAAGATACCATCTTGACAGCTGACTGAATATGTTGCCAATTCAATTAATACAGCGGCGATCAAAATGTAGCTAATTTTAGCTACGATTCTGTCTCAGGCTAAACACGACCACCAGCTAACGTGTACCAGCATACCTCACAGACATTTTCCCCACCTCGAATTTAGCAAGCACCACATCAGTTTAAGTTAGCCCGTGGCTGTTAATGCTATTAATTTCAGTCTTGGAGGTTAGCGGTAACTAAGAGTAACAAAAGTATGTCTAATTCAAAGCCTCGCCCAAGTTGGTTGGTAAACTCGGAAATCGGAGAGTCACAAGCTAACATTTTAGCTAACAGAGATTATCTTAGGTGCCTTCTCAACCAGTCGGCGTTTCAAATGCCGGCTAGCAAGTGATACGTGTGTACGAAAACGTCCAACTTACCTTGAGTTAGCGGGCTTTCACAGTTCTTAATCACGATGACTTATGTTTCTCGGCTGTAACTCTGTGACATAAAAATCAACATACACTTGTTTCGACGTAAGTCCTTCTGCTTTTTCTTTTTTCCCCTTCTGGCCAGTTCACGTTCACTCCGCCGGCAGCGGAAAGACCGATTTGATGACGTCAGGACGAAACAGCTAACGCCTAAAAGGAACGAGAGCGCGACGACAGAATAGAATAAGACGGACGGCGAGATGTGTAATATCTTGGGATAATCTCATATGTAGTCTTAGCTGTAATAAAATATGGAAATCACCTACATCTAACTTATTGACTGTCAAACGTTTTTACAAAGATTTAAAAGATGTTGGTTCTTTTAGTGAACATGTGCTTTTGGATGTTCCAGCTCTCACAAGGTTTGACAATATGTCAGTTCATTTATTACTCATACTGACATGAATTTTTTTCCTTTTTTGGAACATGTACTCTGTTAATAATTATTTATGGTTAAAGTCAAATAAGGATTGCTGGTATTTTTAATGATGCCCTTAAAGAGAGATTGCTTGTATGTCAACAGGCAGGAGAAATACTATAGTTTTGAGTCCAAGCCTCCCATTTCCCCACCAAAAGTTATAAAAATACTTCAAAATAAACTGTGACTTTTCAGATTTTATTTATTCTTTTTAACACAATCTTATATTCTCACAGGTAGGTCCGAATGCTGTTTTAAAGCCTTCTCCAAACTGCCAGGGATACAATTCTGATACAAGGAAGAAGTGATACCTTTATTTTTTGCTCAATTGAAAGAGGCTAAATTTAAATATAGCCAAGTCCAAAACTACTGTTCTTAACTGCTACCAGGTTGTTAAAACCATAACAAGTGTCAGCTATGGGACAAGTGAAAAAAATGAGGCTATTTCTGAGATAATTACAATTTATTTGAATTAGTATACTGTATTTAAAAAAACTTATTTCCATTCACTTACCTAAATATGTAATCATGTGAGATATAAAGGAGTGCACAGACAGCTCACTCTATGTTCAACTATTTATAAATGTAAAAAACTATCAATAAAAACAGTATCTGGTACAGTACAGAGATGATGATCATGGGCATTCTAGATGAGATGGACACTTTTGTCTTCCTCCACACATACAGGCTGAACATGTCATTGATACATTCATAGCTCTAAATCTATTCTCTTGGTGTTATCTGTAAAATACCATACAGTCCACCTAAATCCCTTCACTAAAACGGTGCTGAAAACCCATGTTCATGTTACAATAATTAGTCTGAATAGATCACAGTCTTCTGCATGAGTATTCAGTCAATACAAGAATCAGAGAATTAGGCCTTGTACCTCAGTGTTCTAGGATTATTCATCACAAAAAAGGTTCTGAAGATAATATGATTAAACAGGGCTAAGAAGTAATGCATGTGCTGTATTTATTGACCAAATGCAAAGATCTGCAGATTTGATTTTCCCATCAGACATTTTGACTTGTCATATTATCAACGTTACTGATGGCTTCATACTATTCGTGTCCCAGTAAGACATGACTGTGTGACCAGGACCCCAGAGCTGAAGGACCTAAATGGAATTCAGTCATTCACTTCAGCATTTTCACCTGTGTTTTTTCTACTGTGACATGTCAAAATGTCTTAGGGGAAAAAGCTTTATTGACAAAAACAGAGTCCCATTTTTATGTATTGCTTAACATTAACCGATTTTTGGAATTAAGACATGATGCTGATGATCATTATATTTCACTAGCACAATTTTGTTATAATTTAGCACCAAGGCCCTTTGTGTTCATCACAGGTTTGTTTGTGTGAAAGTGGCAGTGCACACACAGACTCCATAAAGCACCAATGCAGCAATAAAAACATATTACAACTCAGTCCAACTAAAATACACAGTCAAGATCATACTCAATTCCTTTCTTCTGCCCTGTAGAGCTGCAGGAGTAGTCAATTAACTGATTAGTCAACTGAAAGAAAATTGGCAATAATTACGATAATCCAATAATCATTGTAATAAATTTCCATCAACGCTTTCTTTGTCATATACAATAGTAAACTGAAATTCTCTGGCATCTGTACTGTCAGTCAGACAAGTCAAGCCATCTGACGAGATAACCTGAACTCTTGAAAATTGGGCATTTTTCACTATTTTTGGACATTATACAGTCTAACCAGTTAATCAACATCAGTGCATTAACTGATTGTGATAATAATCATTAGTTGCAGCTCCACTTGCCTTCATTAAAAAGGTTGAAAAGAAGAAGTTTTGGAAATAGATAATCAAGGGTCGGTGATTGAATTGTGGATGAAAACCCACAAACCCCGAAATATCTGAATGTCTGTAATGATGCTGATGAGTTCATTTCATCAAAGGAAACAGAGGAAATGAAATGTCTGTACAAACTACAACATCTTTTACAATTACAGTACATATTAAGGTATTGAAATATGTTTCTCCTGGAAACCACAAACACTTCAAATTTCACAGTAAGACAGTGTGACAGCTCTGAGTTCAACATGATTCACGTTTTGCAACCCCACAAGTTAAAAGTAGCACTGGTGTATGACAAATTAAAAATATCTGTCTCATTCCAACATTCACCATCTGAACATTAGTCTTCATGCACTAAATTAAAAATTGTTAAAAATATTAAATGTCTTATGTAGACATGCACAATCACAAGATACAGGATCAATATTCATGTCAAATAACAAAACTAGCTAAAAGTTTAGGTGGTTACTGACTAAAAAGCCCTAAAAAAACAGCAGAATTTGATATAACATCATCAGCATACAATACCATTAATTTTGACCTTTGAAAATGATAGACTTTGACTTTTCCTGTTTCCTGGTCACTGGGTAATGGCACTGCAGAAAGTCACTGAGCAGTCTGGGAAAAAAGGAAGTGTCTTTAAACTCCAGTGTGCAGCAATGGTCAGGAGGAAAAACAGAGGTAAGGCAAGAAATGGAAGGAGCATAATCTACAGTTTTTTAACTAAAACGAAGAGTAGCACTGAAAGCCACAGTGACTGTTATGCATAGAAACCACAGAAACTGCACGTGTGACATGAATCAAAAGACTTAAGTGCATAGCAGACAAAACTAGTCATCCATAAAAATCTGTCTAAAGCTGCCTTTTGAAAGTAGGAGACTGACTGCAAAGACTCTTTATGCTCTGTCTGGTTCTTATAAAACACAGAGGGCAAAAGCCCTCAGTGCGCACACACTCATCCACCCACACACATATATAAACATACTATACTACAGAAGACATAACCCACCTCCCCTATGATAGTTGCTGCTGTTCTGGAGAGGCAGGGGAGGACGAGAAGGTGGAGGAGTTGGAGGTGGTCAAAGGAAGCAGCTCCTCACAGGCAAAATAGTCCTTCAGGGGGGCAAAGAGGTGGCGGATGACTGGCACACTCCATGCCTTCCCCAGCACTTTCTGCCTCTGCTGCCGATTCATGTTCCTCACATCGGTGTAATGTTTGGGGAAACCAAAGATTCTGGTGAAGAATGGAGAAAACATATGTTAGCTACAATCCAAACGCTTCACATTTTGTAAATTAGGTGAAAATAAACAGACTTTTCTTTCTTATAAAAATGGCTTTGGTGGTACCAATCTTCATATACCTGAAATACAGTACATCAATACCAGTACAATGCAGTATATCTGAAAAAAATGAGTGTGTTCATTGTGTTCTGTGGCCTTGTTTCCGTGTTGGGATCCAGGTGCTTTGCTATAGTGGGAACCTAGTTATTATCAGGAGACTTGAGAACAGGACCTTAGAAGCTGAGGTGAACTGTTGCTAGAGAAGTTCATTAATAAATGTGCAGATGGAAATTAAGGCAGAATTTTAAAAATGCAGCCCTCTCATTCTTTTGTATGAGGCCACTGCATCAGTGCATCAAAGGTGCAGAGAGCTCCAGCAAAAATGCAGGGTCATTCTGCAAAACAAAAAAAATAACTGCAATGTGACATCACCCATAAAGGCATCACAGAGGCAAATCCAAAGTATAACTGCAGATTCCTAGTACACTGTACTGAGAACTCTGTATGTCTAATGTTTAACTGGCACCATTAGAAATGTCCAGTTCCTGTCTCTGCAGCCGTAGCACTTTTTTTTTAAACACAAGGCTGTTTTTGGTCTCAACTGCAGCAGAAACCACTGCTGGCCACAGTTCTCTAGTGGAGCTTGACTGTTGACTATCAGTAAATAGTCATGTTCAGGTTTTGACCAGCCTGTGTACTCAGGATTCTCATAGGGTTTAACAGAGCAGAGGCAGTGGTGGACTGTGCATTTGGTTTTATGTAAGCAATATATTATCTGCCCAGTTTCAGCATAGTCTGGATTTGATATATATTGGGTTAAGAATTAATTGCCTTTTTAGTTAAGCGTCACCTTTAATTGTACACACACAGCATCATATTGCCTACTTTTCTAGTTCCGTGATCCAGAGGATGTCCTCTCTGTTGTTGTGAAGAACTGGCAGTATAGACACGTCTTTGCCCTGTTTCAGAGAGTTTGGATTGGTGGTGATCGTCCTCACCTTGGTGACCTAGACCAAAAACAACATGCAGAAGTAATTTTTTCTACCCAAATGAACATCTTAATCACAACTGTTTAAGAATGACACATTGCTTACACAGAATGGAAAGACTTTAGACAAAAAAATAAGAATCAAACTGAAGCAACAGGTTCAGTCACTGACCCTGGCCGTTCTACCGATCTCTAAACAGTCCTGGAGACTCAACTTGTCATTCTGGGAGGCTATAATTGGCCTGATGAGACATAAATAACAAAGTTTATTTACAGTATAAGGCACTTTAAAAATACATAACTTACAAAGTGCTAGACAAACTAAAGAAACAAAAAGGCAGGAAAAAAGAAAAGAAGAAAACATAACACTTACAGCAAAAGTATTCATTCCCTTGAATGTTTTACCCTTTTACTGATTTTATAAATCAATCGTGGTCAATATAATTTGGCTTGGGAGAAGATTCATTTTCCAGCAAGACAATGACCCAAATACAGTGAAAGCTACACAGAAATGGTTTAAAGACAACAAGGTGAGTGTTCTGGAGTGGCTGAGTCAAAGCTCACACTTCAATCTGATAGAGAATCTGAGGCTGGGCTTGAAAAGGGCTGTTCATACCCAGTCACTGCGCAACCTGGCAGACCTTGGGCAGTTTTTTTAAAGAATGGAGTAAAATTGCAGTATCCAGATGTGCAAGCCTGACTGAGAACTAGCCACACAGACTCAGTGCTGTGATTGCAGCCAAAGGTGCATCTACTAAATACTGACTTGAAGGGGGTGAATATTTATACAATCACTTATTTCCCATGACATGTTTTTATTTAATTGACATTACTTTGTAGAAACCTGTTTTCGCATTCACATTAAAGAGTTTTTTTTTTTGTAATTTTGTCAAAAAAGCCAAATTATATTGACCATGATTGATTTATAAAATCAATAAAAGGGTAACACAACCAAGGAGGTGAATACTTTTTATAGGTGCTGTACAAGGAGAGATAATAATCAAGGAGAAGAAAGTGTAAAAAACTCTTATAAATCAAAAACATTTTCACATAACCAATTTGTCAAACATCTAGGAAGGATACGACATAGAAATGTTACAAGCTTGAAGACAATGGTACTAATGCTTTATATATTTACTGATATCACTGTTACTGCTACAGGAAGCCAATATATTTCTATAATCCAAAAAAGTCTGAAATCAGTTTGAATATTTTAATCCTTATAACTCATGATTTAATGTACGTCTCACCTGCTCATCCCTGGGATGTTCCCCCAGAAGTAACGAGCTCTATGGGCTGGGCTAACCTTAACTGCATCCACCAGCACTGGGTTGCACTGTCAAAGAACCATAGAGCAGCAATAGTCAGCCCTGCCTGTCATTCTTTCAGAAATTAGAACATACAAGTCAGAAATAATCAGCAGTGCAGTGGTGAAGGGATTGTGGTAGAGAAAATGGGAAGGGAGGTAAGGGGAGCAAAAAGGAAAATGTCAGAGCAGAGCAAAGAGGCAAGAAGAGAGTACTTCAAAGTATCCACCAGTAACAAGAACTAAATTAAGCAAACCTCAAGGAAGCGGGATATATTGACTCTGTCGTGTGTGTTCATGAAGACCACATTTTCAAACAGCCAGAAGAACGGCCTGGGGTCACCCTCATTGGGCTTCAGCAACTGAAGGATGCGGTAGTATTCAAAGAACAGCCTGCCGGTGCCCTCTGCCAGAGAGAATAGCATATCACAGCGAAGAACAGAGGCTTCAGCCCTTTGATATTTTTACACTCCTTCCAAACACTAATATACACCATCAACTTAACAACTGTGACTATAAAATGATCATTTTGATCAAAGCATAACTGAGGCTAGTGGAGATAGAAATATTATTCAGTGATCTCATTTGTGTACAGTTAATCAGGTCTATAACTGCTGATTATTGCATATTTGTTCTTTTCTTTTGAATAATCTTTACATCAACAAAAAGTAAAACAACAATAACAGTTCAAACTGCATTTTCTATAAACAAGTTCAAAAAGCTAATGCTGATGTGCATACACCACAGCTACGCACCATAAAGGCCTTTTCTGATTGGGTTGACGATGGAGAGGTCATTACAGGGGCTGCCACCAATCAGCAAATCAAACGGGCCCCACTGCTTGATCTGGATCATCAAAGAGTGATAATTCAGTATTTTCCGTCATTTCAGTGACATCAGTCAGTCTATATGATATTTTAAAATATATTTTCAACTGATGTAAGACACCAAAAAAATCTGACTTTTAATATAAACAAAAAAATAATCGTCAAATGGATCTGAAGTCACTATTCGCAAAACAAACTTGGGAGGAAAGACAAGGAAAATATTTAAACCTGCAATATTTGATATTTCTGGCCACTGAAAGAAGTTGTGAAGGTAACACTGACATATCCCCAGCATTTGCCCTACCATAAAAAGGCTTAGGCTCAGAAGTGCTTTTGTGAAGCACCTAGGCTGAATGAATGTAAAAAGGCGACATATCAGAATGAATGTAAAGACAACAGTAAATTATATTAGAACCAAAATCAGCTTTACTGTAGGACACACCAGGAATTTGACTCTGGTACAGTGGCTCTCAATGTGTACTGTAAAATCCGGACTATAAGCCGCTACTTTTTTTCCACAAGCTTTGAACCCTGCGGCTTAAACAATGATGCGGCTAATTTATGGATTTTTACGGGCTAACGAGCTTTGTGCCGCCAATACATTTAGCCTCGTCACATCAGACCAATTAAATTACCGAACAGGTCACAGTGGACCAATGAAACTGTTCGAATTAAATTAAATGCACTCACACTAAATTCTTCAGATCAGTCATTTTGCGCTTCATGCACACACCCTCATCCTGGAAAACGCACGAAGAAATGCCTATGATGCAGCTTTCAAGTTAGCAGCGATCGATCTAGCTATCGAAGAAGGAAATAGAGCTGCTGCACGTAAGCTTGGCATCAATGAATCAATGGTGAGATGATGGAGAAGGCAGCATGAAGAACTGACTCAATCCAAAAACACGACAAAAGCTGTAACATATTTCTGTGTAAATATCTCATGTTACAACGTGGACACAGCTTATAGACAAGTGCGGCCAATATATGTACAAAATTTTTTTTCTTCTTAAATTTAGTAGGTGCGACCTATAGTCAGGTGCACTCAATAGTCCGGTTTTTATGGTATGCACAATGTTCTTCTGTAAGGCAATGAGTATACAAAATAAGACTGAGAGAACAAGAAAAGAAAAAGAATGTGCAGACAAGACAAAGGAATCTGCATTGGGACAATAAAGTACTTATAAATAGTGAAATATATATATATACACAGTTTCAGATAGATATATACAAAAGCATATTTACAAGGTTTTGCACTCAGGGTTGTCATTCTGTTATACAGTCATGGGTTAAGTGTCCATCAGAGTGATGGCACTGAAAAATAACAGAGCAGTGACTTGATCTCAAAATGAAATGTAAGCTGGCAACAGGAATGACCTGTCAATCAACAATCAGTGTCTGGAGGAACGTTGGTGATTGGCAGCATCGCCAAGCTGATCAAACAGCCGACTGGACATTTCTCTGTAACCTCATCTCAGGACGTTATTTACAGCCATCGATAAGGCCTCCACTAAGGATATATGAAGTAGGCTATAACTTTGTTATAGAGTAATTTCTGTGAATGGTAACAATACAGTTGTAAGCAATGTATGTGTAAACCAGCACAATAAGTAGTGGGCCAGACAATTTACAATAAGCTGAAAGGCAGAATAAAGCAGCAAATAAAACTGAGGAGAATTGTAGAATCAGGTGAAAAGTCTGTGTGTGTGTGTGTGTGTGTGTGTGTGTGAACATACATGTTCCTCGGTAATGAACCGAGCATCACCAACACGGATGATCTTCCCATCATGGTTGACTTCTGCCACAGCAAGTGAATCCTCACAAACCTCTGAAGCAACATATTTCTCTACTTTAAATCCAAGTTCTTTCAGCACCAGGTAGCCTACAGATATAAAGACACACACACACACACACACTTCTTTTAAACTACTAACTGGAATAAATCAGCACAAGGATGAAAAAGTAACATTAAGAAATCAGAAGGAAAGATTTTTTAAAACCGACAGTGTATAATAACAATCAGCTTTTGCTGTTACAATGTACTCTTGATATTTTCTCTCTGTAGTTTTTAATCATGACTTCAGTGGTTTCAGAAGCAAAATATAGAAATGTTGATTGTGCATTGTCATTAAATAAATAGATAAGCAAATTAAAGGAAAGAATCTGTTGGCCTATTTCGACCAGCAGAAAAGTATTGCTGACTACTGAGGCCAGAACAGCCGCGCAAGACCACTGTCTGCACCATCAGACTATTTGGACAGCAGACCCACCTGTTGCTATGCCATCAAACAGTGAGAGAACTCGAACTGGTCTGCGAAGATTGGCAGGGATGGATGGGTAAACACGGTGTGGTTCCTGAAACATTAAAAACAATGTGGTAACTGATCCAGCTAATGGTGAACATGTTAGCAAACAACGTCTTCATCCAGCAGTTACAGAGCAACATTATCCATGGTGTTGTGTCCACCTGATGAATGCAAGTCTACTGTTCACTCGTTTTTGGTCTCTACCAACTCCTGAGCTAAACATCTGGCTGTTTAGCAGCTAACTGCTCTGCTATGCTAACCAATTAATCTCTGTCTGTCTGTTGTTTACTGCTGAGCTGAAAGTCATAAAGCTTTGTGAAGTCCTCGGGAGCTGCAGATTCAGCTGATGATTCTCTGTAGGTGCAACTGTACAAGACACGCCTTAAACATCATCATTTGATACGCTGTTAAAAAATGATTATAGCTGCTTTAAATTTGTGTTAGTGAGAATAAGATTCTTGTAAGTGCAATTCTGTGTTAAATTATTTATTGTAACTTCCTTATTTGTCACTTATTTGCATCTCAATACAATTTATGGTTATTAGATTTTTATGTGTATGTTTGTGTGCATATAATTCTCAGTAGATCAGATTTTGATTGATTTTTGTTGTTTTGTTATTAAATGATTATCTGTGTATATCACACATGCTCCCAGCATACAGTTAAACTTACTAGTTATTTCATGTTAGTTAAGTATTCTCTGCAGCTCTTCTTGTATTTCCTTTTACTGCTGTGACACTTCAATTTGCCTGTATGGGATGAATACATCCATTATCTATACTGCTTATTTCTGAATAGTGTCGCAGGGGTGCTGGAGCCAATCTCAGTTGACAGTGGGTGAGAGGCAGGGTCCACCCTGGACAGGTCGTCAGTCTATCACAGGGCTGACATGTAGACAAACAACCACGCGTGCTCTCTCCTATGAGCAATTTAGGGTCATCAATCAACTTAAGCCGAATATCTTTTGACTGTGGGAGGAAGCTGGAATACCCGGAGGCAGGCACAGGGAGAACGTGCAAACTCTAGGTTGACTCTCTGAACCCAGAACCTTCTTACTGTGAGGCGACAGCACTGACCACCATGCCACTGTGCAATTATGCTGTAGATTCTCTGCCAAATATACTATATAAACATTTACAAAGATAGTTAATTAACAATGGTGTTAAAAAGGAAAATAAGCGAGCAGGTAGAGAGACATGAATTTTAATTGACATGAAGTCATACTTGATAAAGGACAATGAATTATTAATCAATACAAAATAGAGAACAGTTTAATTTATCAAGGAAATAAGAAACTGCTGCTTCTCTGTTTAATCATTGGAAATTCAGTATAGTTGTATTATATGCAACTATACTGGATATAATTCATGACTTTCTGATGTTTTATAGACAAAACAACAAATCCAAGAAAAAACTGGCTAATTAATTAATAATAAAAACAAATGAAGATTGAAAACCATGAACAAACAATCCTGTCACAGTGTAGTGAGGACCTAAAATTAAAACAGACATATACAGTGTGGTGTGTAAGGCTTTCTAGCTGAAAAAAAAAAAGTATTTTATTGTATTCTGTCATTCCACTGGCTGATCTGCTGCTTTGTCCTGGGCTCTTATGTTGTCAACTTCCTCTCCACCCTGTCTGGCAAGCTCCAGCTTTACTACTGCTAATTTGACACAGCTGGAGCCTATTGAGTCCAATCGGGGGGCGGCTTTATAAGCTGGCTTCACTAGACAGCCTCTGTCATTTGTGCTCCATGCCTTGTCAAGCTATGGACTAGGCTCCCATTTTTGGACTCGCCTTCAGGTGGTTTATGGTTTAGTTTCAGAGACTCTAGAGACTGGTTTGCCTACTTTGAGGTGTAATTTTTGTTTGATGAATTTCATGTGTTAAAGTGACTGTTTGCCAGCTAAGTGCTGTTTTTTTGTTTCTTATCATCCATCCATCTATCTTCTTCCGCTTCATCCGGGACCGGGTCGCGGGGGCAGTAGCCCGAGCAGAGCCTCCCAGACTTCCCTCTCCCCACACACCTCCTCTAGCTCCTCAGGAGGAACCCCAAGGTGTTCCCAGGCCAGCCAGGAGACATAGTCTCTCCAACGTGTCCTGGGTCTGCCTCGAGGCCTTCTCCCGGAGGCATGTGCCCGGAATACCTCCCCAGGGATGCATCCTAAACAGGTGCCTGAGCCACCTGAACTGGTTCCGCTCAACATGGAGGAGCAGTGGCTCTACTGAGCTCCTCACGGGTGACTGAGCTCCACACCTTATCCCTAAGGGTGCGCCCAGCCACCCTCCGGAGGAAACTCATTTCTGCTGCTTGTATCCACGATCTCATTCTTTCGGTCATGATCCAAAGTTCATGGCCATAGGTGAGGGTAGGAACGTAGATTGACCAGTAACTTGAGAGCTTCATCTTACGACTTCTTCACCACAATGGACCAGTACAGAGAACGCATTACTGTGGATGCCGCACTGATCCGTCTGTCAGCCTACTGCTCCATTTTTCCCTCACTCGTGAACAAGACCCCGAGGTACTTAAACTCCTCCACATGAGGGAGCAACTAGCCCCCAACCTGGAGAGAGCAATCCACCTTTTTCCGACTGAAAACCATGGCCTCAGATTTGGAGGTGCTAATTCTCATCCCCACCGCTTCACACTCAGCTGCAAACCCCTCCAGTGCACGCTGTAGGTTCTTGAACTGATGAAGCCAACAGAACCACATCATCCACAAAGAGCAGAGACGAGATTCTGAGATTCTATTCAGAGACCTCCCGTGACTGTGCGCCAGCTTCTAGCGGTGTTCAGAGGTCATTAAATGTCACTTCAACTTACTTGTTTCCTGACTGGTGTTTGTTTTGAATCCATTCACCACTACACCTGACAGTATTCAGAGATCAGGGGAGTTGTCACAGTTATAAAAATGGTCATGATCTGTTAAGGACTCACAAACTCCATCGCGCTGTTGTTGGCAAATAATTCCTGAACACGAATGCTCCAGTCCTGCCTGGGAATCAAAGCTCCATGGGGTTGATGAGACTGACACAGGTAACAGATCCACGGGTCCCGCAGCTTCAATGACTCAAATGTCCCTGGACCAACAAGGATATTCAGACAGTCCTCGCAGTAGGATCTACAGATGGAAAGGAAGAAAAAAAAGAAGGTGGGCATAAAAATAAAATCAAAAAAAGGTCACCATTGTTACCTTGTTTTGGATGGCTACATGAAAATGCACAGAAAGGAAAAAGTAAGAAAAGAACCTGCAGCAGCTATCGTTGCCACACAGTATGACCTCCATTCCATAGCAGCAGATGGTACAGTAGGATTGATATCCATCTTCATCATAACGATACAGAGTCTCTGTAAAGTTATTCTACCGGGACACAGACAACATGACCAAAGGTTGGGACATTTGAACAGACAGAGTTGGAATCAGAAGTTCACCTACACTTAGGTAGAAGTCAATAAAACTGTTTTTTTTAACCACTCCACAGATGTCGTGCTAACAAACTCCTGTTTTGGCAAGTCAGTTAGGACATATACTTTGTGTGTGATTGAAATAATTTTTCTAACAATTGTTTACAGATTATTTCACTTATAATTCACTGTCACAATTCCAGTGGGTCAGAGGTTTACATACACTTAGTTGGATGGGCATTCAAACAGCTTGAAAAATTCCAAAAAATGATGTCATGGCTTTAGAAGCTTCTGATTGGTTAACTGACATCATGTGAGTCAATAGGAGGTGCACCTAAAGTGTGGACCTCCACAAGCCTGATTCATACTTGGGAGCAATTTCCAAACACCTGAAGGTAGGCCAGGAGGCCGCTGCAGTAAACTATGCAGCCATGCTCAGCAAACAGAGGCCTCGATGCAAACAGCCAATCAGGGAGAGTGCCGTCCTCGCCTCATGAATCCCAACCAGAGTATGCCAATCACACTCTCCTTAGCCCTGACCCTCAAAGCACTTCCCTCTTGTCCATGGCAAAATAGTGATAGGGAAGTGAAATTGAAAGAAAAAGAGTCACTGAAAAACACAGACAAAAAAAATCTGAAGATTTATAAAATAAAGCAGTGATCCTAACTGAACTAAGACAGGAGCTGTGAAAAACTGAGTTTAAATATATTTGGCTAAGGTGTATGTAAACTTCTGACTTCAACTGTATAGAACAGGAAACTGTACAGTGTAGCTTAATATTTCAGTTCAGGGTTCATACATTTAACTGCCATGTACAGTCACTGCTGGTTGTAATATAAAAGAGAAGTTGATAGTTCCTTACTTTACACTTTAAGCAGAGACTGCCTTTAAACAGAGGGTGGAATATCTCAACATTTTCAGTTCCACAACACAAACAGAAGCCTGCAGAAAAAAAACATACAAATGGGAGGAAACAGGTGAGGAGCAAATAAGTGACTGAGTCTAATTATTTATATGGATGCAAAAATGCAGTTATACTGTATGTAGTGTAAATAAAACTACATTCTTATGTTTCCATTATAAAAATGAATCATGTAAAAACTTAAGCGCTTCACTAGAGTATTAGCAGTTCTTACAATACTGTGCACATGCAAAGATGTGAGGGACTGTTGACGGATTAAAACATAATTATTTCACCATTTAACAACAAAATCAAATAATTATGCATAAACAAGAACAACCTCAAAAATTAGAATTACGTGTGACATGTTCTGTTATTGGACTTCTGTGCTAGCCACAGTTTGTCCATAACAAACACCATGTTCAT